GCCGCACGCGGCGCCGAAGACGAACGCCGGGGACGAGCACTTCCGCCCGTGAGCGCTGGGTCGGCCCGTCCCTGGCGCCCGGGGTGCTGCGCCCTGCTGGAACGTGTTTCTTTATTCCCTGGAGCATAATGGGCACTGTAGGCCCCCCCCCCCCTCCCCCCCCTATAACCCGGGGGCCCCCAAACGGGGTGGTGGCCACGCCGTGTGGTGAGTTGGTGGGGATTGGGGGTCACCGCACGGTTTTGGGACTCGGGTCGTTCTCCGAGCACGTCTCGGGCGACGGGGGCCTCCGGGGTCCCAAGACCGCGCGGTGACGGACCGTGCGGTGAGGTCTCTTGGGGTTCCGAGGTCACCGCACGGTCTGTCGCCGCACCGTTTCGGGACTCCAAGCTATCGTAACGCCCCTCCCCCCCCAGTGCGCTCCGGGCACTGCCGTCGTGCGCACGGCGGAGGGGAGGCGTTACATTATATACCCCCCCTGGCCCCTCCCCCCTCCCCCCCTACAATGCCCACTATCGCCGAAAACAAACAAACGCGCTCCTGCCAACCCCGTGGGCGGGCCGCGTCGGGGCTGGTGCCTCGCTTCGATGCCTCCGATTCGATTCGATTCGAGTTCGGTGGCTTCCGATTCCGATTCGATTCGACGTTGGCTCCCGATCTGGGCTCCGACGTCTCAATGGAGGCCCATACGAGCCTGCCGACCTTCCGCCGGTTCGACTTCTCCCGATTCGGCTGCCGATTTCTGCCGATCCGATTCGAGTCGATCGCCGATCCGACTGATCAATTCGATGAGTTGCTCTCCTGCGGGGGGGTGGTGGCTCGGGGGGGCGGCGAGAGGTCTGGGCCCCCTCCCTGCACCGGCACAGCTTGTCGGGGGGCGTTCGGAGGAGCCAGAGATCACGATCATGGTGCTTTCCCTCAAGACGAAGGCGTGGCATATTTCCTAGATCAAATCGTCTTCCGCAGGGGCTTCAGGCACGAGGGCCGCTGGCTACGTATCCTGAGCCAGTCGTCTCGTGACGTTCTCGTTTTGGGTGGCGGGGCGGGGGGGGGGGGACAGCCTCTCAGCAGGCTGCCTGCGGGCAAGGCAGGCCTCAAGGGTGAGCCTCTGAAGCGAGCAGCCCGTGCATCCGTCGTCTCTGGGTCTGCTTGCCAGGTGCTCTTCTTGGTCGGCCGAGAGTCCGCCTAATCTGATGCGTTCTAGGTGCCATGCATCCTTGCACCCCACCCTCAGTGTCGATTTGGATGCTGTCCTCGGCGTGGGAGCTCGGAAAGACGAGGGAGTTGGGGAGCCAGTGGATGCACGTCGCCGTCATATGTCAGGGCCTCACTTGTCCTCAGCGTGTTTCAGCTTCAGCTGTCACAAGCAGGCTCAGCTTACTGTGCCACTCCCTGTTGGAGTTCACCAGTCCGCCCCTACGAGCACCCCTGTTCTCGCTCTGGGCGCCTCGCTGTGTTTCTGCACTGTTTTCCCGTGCCCACCTGCTGACACACCTGACTGTGCCCCACGGCATCGCAGTCCAGCAGTACTCATTCAGAGCACGAGGCTCGGGGGGTCGCTCACTGGCTCGGGAGCCGTTCGAGCTCACGCTACATACGGAGAGGCCTCAGGTTTTGTGCTAGACCTAGGGGTGGCAAGCATCGATTCGTTGTTGCGCAGCGTGCAGCAAATCTCGCAAGCGCGATGTTTTGGTGTTCGATCCCATTTCCGCAATAACCCTTCAATTTCAATTTGGCCAGTGTGTTGTTTCCCCGACACCCTGGCGGGTCCGCCGAGTTGGAGAGGGGTAGTGGGGGAATCAAGACACATTTGAACGCGATCTTCGATCCCCCAATGTGTTCCATGTTGTCCTCGGGCTTGTCGTGACAGTCGTCAATGCAAGGCCGATTGCATCGGCATTAGTTTTCCCTAGCGGCAGTTTCTGCAGCAGTGCCCACGTAGCGCCTCCATTGTGCATCCAACCGCTAACACATACGTTCTATAGTCAAGCAGAGCGGAGTCGTTAGGAGGCTCGCAGGTCTTTCGCATCATCCTGCGAAGTGGGGCGATCTGATTGCGGCTCCTACTCCTCTGGTCGCCCCAGCCCATACAGGACGATCCGAAAGTTTTACCACCACTCCCACACACGGTGCTACTATCAAAACGGTCTTTCGTCAGAGCTGCTTGTTGTCTAGGTAACTTGGCTTTCCGTAGAGAAAGGACCGGTTGACGCATTGATTAGCCATAGCCCAAGTTTTTTGCGATAGGCCAGTTTGTATATGTGGGGGGTGACGCGCATCGACCAAAGTCGGCATCATTACTTGCAACTTCCTCACAGGGTCACGTAACTTGAATCTACCCTTACCTCGTTTCAGATCTGGGAGTTCACAGTACAGTACGCGAGATCGCCGTCAGTGCGCGTGGAAGTGGCCAGGTTTCTGTCTTGCCAGTCGAAGAATCGCCACTCTCAATTGCAAATGCGATACTTGACAAGTCTTCTTGCCTTTGAACCTCCTGAGCCCACCCACGCGCCCAAAACACTTGACAAAATCAGCGTTCGGTTTCCCATCGACGACGACGACGACGGCGGCAGCAGCATCATTACTGCATCCCGTTGTAGAAGTTGTCTGAGTACCAGAATGCATTCGAGTCTGTTCTCCAGTGCTGGTCAGCAACATCCCACTTGCGTCGCAGCCGGCTGTCAAAGACATCGCGCTGCTGACCCACGTGCGCGTAGCAGCAGATTTAGCCAGCAATCGATGTGGCCGGAGGGGTCGTCGGACTATGGTTTCTAGCTGTAACCGTTAGGAGGGTCTCACAGCAGAGTGGCACTACACACGTCGAAGACGGAATCGAAGTTTGCCTTTGCGTATGACCTCGCTGTTGCCATAAGGAATAGCCCGCCGGAGAAGGACACATCAAAATACATTGACTGCAAGGCCTTTAACAAGCCGGTCTCGTTTTCCTCTGTGCGATAACTGGCGTGATCGGCCCTGGCTCCCCCCCACCCCTCCCAGATCACGTCATTGCGGTCGTCCCGTGACAACCACGGGCGTCTTGTAGCTCTCGCAGGGTAGTGGTGCTCACAGGCATGCTATGGCATTCCCGAGTAACGCTGCTCTCACGCGCTTGTGGTTCTCAGGGGCAAAGTAAAAAGTGCTGCTCTGTTGCTCAATGGCGTTGGTGTGCCGCTCGTAGCTGCCAGTGCTGCGATGTACGCATGTATTGTTGTGCGCACAGGCGTTTTGCTGTACGCAAGCATCTTGTTGTACACTGGCGCTGTGGGGCAGGCAGGCACTGCGGGCCCAAAGTGCAGAGCGGACCGTGCCCCAGGCCAGAGCAAATATTATTTACAGATGACAAGCACATTGAATATGGTAAGTTCGCGCCCACCACGATTTTCTGGAGTTTGGTTTCAGTCGTGATTTCTGGTTGCAGACAGGCTTGGTTGTGTACGCAGATCATGTGGTGGTCGCAGGCGCCAGGCGCTGTGGTGCTCACGGCTGATGTAGCTGCACAGGCAGGCATCGTGTTGTACACAAGGGTTGGGGTGCACGCAGGCAGTGCGGACATCAAGTACAAGACCCTTCCCAGGCCAGGGAAAGCAGTACTCACAAATAACTACCGTATTGAACTTGATAGGTTCGGGCTCACCACGATGTTCCAGAATCTGGGCCCCATTGAGAGAGATTTGTCCGATAGCCTTGATCGCCAGGAAAAACTTCGAGCACCAGGCAATTACCGAAACTGGAGGATGTTGATGTGTCGGGCCCCGGGAGGCGGTGCTCGTTCGACTTTTCACTGGCGTGTCGAGCAGACACTGCTTCGATACTTTTTGGGTGTTCATGTCGGGGATGTGTTCTTGAAGCGCGACAGGAACAACATACGCCAAAAACGTCGTTTGCTGCACCTTTTCGACGCGGGTGATTCGCAGCGGGCCAACGACGAGCACCGGGACACTGCGGCGCACGACAGGGCGAACGACGACAGTTGCGACCCTGCAGAGGGCGAGGTGCAGGCAGACCTCGCGATCAAAGTCGACGGGGGCTTCTGGGACGTGCTCTTGGCGACGCCGCCGGCGCTGACCTTCCATCGCCAAGCTCGCCTCCGAGGCCCAGGTGGCTCAGACATCTTCGGCATGAGTCGAAGAAGAAAAAACCACATGAGCATAAACTTTTGGGCGCTCCGCGCGGATTTCTTGCATCCGCGCCTGGGCCCCCCGGCGGCGCCTCCGGCGCCGCCCGCGGCGCGCTCCGCGCGCCAGGGAGGGGGGTTCAACGCGAGCCCGAGAAACCCGCGCGGAGCGCCAAAAGTTTATATGTATGTGTTTTTTCTTTTTCTAATGCGTTTATGTTTATGTTTACGTTGGTTCCCAGGCGGTGGATATGGATAAATCCTCGCCTCGCACAGGTGACGCAGACATCTTCGGCATGAAGGGCCTCGGGCCGAGGGGGCCCAAGTCGGTTCGGGAATAGACGGTTTTGGCAAGTGGAGCCGCGGAGAAGCGGCGCGCAGGTTCGGCTAGCTCGGGCGCGCCCGTTGGCTCGTGGGCGCGCCGGGGTCTTCGCCAAGGAGTGCGGATGTTTTACGCGGCGAAGATGTGGGCGAATAGCCCAGTGGGGAGCAATGCGTGTATTCAGGTGCGCCGATGACTTATGTCTTCGACAAGGCTCCCGGGCGAAAGCGTGCAACGCCCGCCCTTGGGCTATTCGCCCTTGTCATCGCCGCCGACATTGCACCTCCCAGCCTTCAGGCTGGATACGTTGGCCGGCGTCTGCGTCTCCATCGCGCCGCGGAGCCCCGGGCGGTTCGAGGGCGCGCCCGCGAACCTCAGACCCAGACATCCGACGTCTCGATTTTTCCAATACGGGGTCCCAGGACGTCTCGACCCATCCCCCACGACCGGTTTTTCACCCTGCGTCGTTTTGCGACGGCCCCGAGGCCCGGCGAGGGCCTCGAGAGGCCGAAAACCACGGACAAACTTCGTTTCGATTTTTTCGAGACGCCCGATGCCTGGGGAGGGATCTTCGTCTCGAGCTCTGAGCGCGGCTTCGGCGACCTCCTGCGCTGCCCCCGCCGGAGCGCCTTCCAAGCCGAGCCGGGCCGCCCGGGCTCGCTGCCGCGGCCAGCTCGGGCGGGCTCGCCGCCGGGCGAGAACGCCAGCTCGGTGCGCCTGCAGCGCGAGGTCTTCTTCACCAGTCCCCTGCGTCGTTGTGTTGAGAACCCGAAGGAGCAGACCCAGAGAGCCAACGCATTGAAAAAAATCAAGACGCAGTTTTTTTCGCAGCTTTCGGCCTCAATGGGCCCTCGCCGGGCCCTGGGACCGTCGGAAAACGATGCAGTATGAAGAACCGGCCCTGGGGAATGGGTCGAGACCTCCGGGGGCCCCGTATTGCAAGAATCACGACGTCGGGTCTCGGGGGAAGCGCAAGGAGGGCGCCCGTGCTCTCTTTGGGGGGGCTCAGGGGGCGCGGCCGGCGCAGTCCGGCGCGTGCCAGGCCGCCGCGTCGCCGGCCCGGCCTCGGCTCACTTGGTGTCCCGTTCTTTGGGCAATGGCCCAGACATCCATCACCACCCACCAAACCACCCCAACCCAACCCGAAGGCCCAAATGAATCCTCGATTTCCAGTGGGGGGGGTCGGGGAACATTGAAAAAGCACATGGGACCCGTGCCCCCCCAACCCGAAGTTCGGGTCCAACTCGGGTCTTCGGGTTGGGTTGGGGTGGTCTGGTAGGTAGTCAATCCAGCAGCGAATGTCCTGGGCTTCTGCAGGCGGCCACCCGCCGGGGGTCGACCCGATCTCGCCGGGCCCGGCCGAGAAGGAGCGGGGCGTCTTCCGCAGGATGCTCGGGGAGGCGCTGGGCGCGAACGACGTCGGACCAGCTCGCTCGGCTACCTGTTCCGCCGAGCTCCGGGGGGGCCCCCATGCTCAAAGGGGCCTCTGCGCCCGAGATCCAGGCTCGCATGTTGCGCATTGGTGTTGGGGGGGCGCGCCAGCCGGGATCGCGGCTGATTGCATCTTGGACGAGCTGTTCCCGGCCGCCGACGGCGACGGGGACGAGGTGCTGGCCCGGGGCGACCTCGCTGGGCCGGCCGAATATTTTGCAAAATAATGGGGGCCCGAGGACGGCCGGGGAGGCAGTCGAGCATGCGCTCGCGAACGCCAGCCGCGAGCCATCTTATTTGAAAGCATGCGACACCATTGAGGCCCTTCGGGCCTACCTCCAGGCCGAGCCCATCATGTTCAGGTTCGGGGTCATGCGGAAGGCGAAGGATGGTTGGGACAAGGGTCGCATCATCCTGGACCTCCGAGCGTCGACGGTGGCGCGCGCCGCTCGGCGGAGTCACCTTGCCGCCCTGCCGATGGTGGCCGATGTACTTCCGGATCTAATGGACTTGATGTCCTTTCGGGGCGTGGGAGACGGCCTTGGGCTCCTGATTTGACTTCGCCGGCGCGTTCTGGATCGCGCCGCTGAAGTCGGATGAGCGATCCTGCCGCCGTGCAAGGGGAATGCTTTGTCTTCCTCGGGGCGGCACAGGGCTCGCGCAGTGGACCTGTATCGTGGGCAGCGGCGGCGTCGCTGGCCACTCGCTGTGCCCAGTTGCTCTTGGCCCCGGCGCCTGGCGCGGTCGGCGGGGGCCTCGAGCGCGCGCGGGCCCAGACCGTCGTCGACGACCCCGCGGTTGGCGCGAGGGGTTCCGCCGAGGACCCTGCCCGCAGCATGTCGATGATAGCGCTCGCGTGGCGGGCCTCGGGCTTCCCGCCGGCCTCCCACGAGGCGCGACCGGGCGCCCTGGTGCCCTGGATCGGGTGCGCAGTCGCGGTGGACTCCGCGAACAGCTTCGCGCGGGGGGAGATGGCCAAGGCCAGGATCGACGACTGCAGGGCGATTTTGCCCCCGAGTGTCCGCGCGCCGACGTCGCGCCAGCCGCGCGGCTTCGGCGCGGGGCGGGCTCTTTCACGCGTCGCGCCCCTAGTCTTGATCTCGCGACCTTTCTTGGACCAGACGCAGGGCGCGATCGCTAGAAGTTCGCCCAGCGCGCCGTCTGGGTGCACTTGGGCGGCGCAGTTCAAGCGGCCGCTGTTGTGGTTGCGCCCCTGCTTCGACGCTGAGATCGGCAACCTCGCCCGGGCGTTCCGCCCGTGCGCCTATATGAGATTTGAAACGGGCCCGAAGCGCCGGATCGTTGCGGACGCAGGCCTCCATGGGGGCTCGGAGGTTGCATCGTCGTCGAGGGCGTCTTTGTGTCTGGGTTCGCAGCGGAGCTGCGTCAAGACCTCGCGGATGCATTGGGGGTCGAGATGGGCCGCTGCACCGGCTAGCAGACCATGGAGGCGTTCGCTATCCTCCTCGCGTTGCGCCTTTGGCGTAAGCACTGGCGGGGGCAGAGGCCGATCCTGGCCCAGAGAGAGCCAACGCATTGAACAAATTAAAAAAGACGCAGATTTTTTCCAATTTTCAGCCTCAATGGGGCCCTGGCCAGGCCCCAGGACCATCAAAAAACGATTCAGGATGAAAAACCGGCCCTGGGCAATGGGTCGAGACTTCAAGGGGCCCCGCATTCAAAAAAATGCGACGTCGGATCCTTGGGCGAGGTCACGGAGGACAACGTTGGCGCGATCGCCGCGCTGGCGAAGGCGCAGCCTAAGGGGGAGGGACCGAGCTTCATTGCCCATGAGGTGGTCCTGGACATCGCCTGCAGGAAGTACGAGCCAGACGCATTCTCTCACTCCTCGGCGTCAGTACTTCCATCGTGGACACGCTCTCGAAGAAATTCATGGCGGGGGCGCGTCGAAGTGCGCTCCTGGCGCGTCTTCGACGCGCCCGCGAGGCCCGCCCCCCGCCTCGCCGGCAATTGGGATTTCCTAGAGGGCCTCTGCGGGCCGGCCGAGGGGGCCCGTCTGCTCCGCGCGGCTGCGGCGCACGTCGGGGCGGGCCCCTGGGGCCCGCAGCTGCGCGCTGCAAGGCTGCGAGCCGCGCGAGTTCGGTCGAATCTCTAGCGCCCCAAAAGTCAGGGGCTGCCTAGCCGACCCCCCCGAACCACCCCCTTCTGCGGCGCCGCCCTCGCACCGCCCCCAAGATGCATGCACGCGGCCGGAGGGGAGCTCGAAAGCGAGGATGACGCCACGGAAGGGGATGTTTTGCTAAGGGTCGGCTGGGCCGCGCCCGAAAAAGTCGGTTGTTGGCGCGGCGTTACGTTGCATCCGCAGGATTGTTTTTTTCTGGACGAGGGGCGGGAGCTGTCGCCCTCCGCCCAGGGTGCGATTTGTTTTCCTCCCTCTAACAACATATCTTTTATAGCGGGAGCTAACGTCTTCATTGTTTAAGACGCGTGAGGTCTCCGTCGATGCTTTTGCGGTCGGACGTGCTTGCTTGTCCGCGTGAAAACGGCGTGCCGGCCCATCCGCTATTGCGCTGGGTCCGGCGGGGCACCTCCGGCCTGGCGCCGGAGGGGGCCTCCGTCACGTTTGGGGAGAGCCTCCCAGAACATGGGCCTGTCAGGGCCTCTGGGGCGGAGTCGGCAGATCTGCCCCCTCATCCACGCGCCTGGTTGGGAGAGGGTCGACGTTGACCTGGCCAGAGGGTGGCGCGCCTACCCGCCCGGAGGCGGACGCTTGCCCGGCCGGTCTTTCGGGGGAGGGCCTCGGCGGGAGCTCCCGGACGGAATGCGCGCCCGCATTTCCGCCCCGACATGCATCCATTTTGCGGGTGCCAGGCTGGAGGGCGATGTTCGCCTGGCCGGAGGATGGCGCGTGCATCGAGCTGGAGGCGGGCGTCTGCCAGTAGCCTAGCTGGTCGTGGGTGGGGGCTCCGGCAGGAGTGCCCAGGCCCCCCGAGTTGCCGCCCCCGCAGTCACCCCGGCACCCGGCTGGCGGGCGGCGTTGGCCCGGCCGGAGGGTGGCGCGCATGCTCGGCTTGAAGCGGACGTTTGCATGGCTGGCGATGGGGGTCATCGGCGGGAGTATTTGGTCAGGCTGGGTGCCCTGCGCAGTCGCCGTGCGGGTTGGGAACGGACGTCTGTCTGGCTGGCGCATGCCGCGCGGGCGGGCTGGAAGCGGACGCCGCGCCGTGGTCAGGCTGGGTGGCGCGCGTGCCCGGCTGGAAACGGACGTCTGTCTGACTGGCGTTACATTGGCAGGAGTATTTGGTCCGGCTGGCTGCCCTGCGTAGTCGCCGCACCTGGAGCGCCCGCGGCCGCGACGGGCGCCCCCGCGCGGGGGGCTGCCGCGCGTGCGTGTTTTTCCCAACAGGATGGGCGGCGTGGCGCCGCGGTCGATCCTCGAAGGATTCGGGCGGCGGTTTTGTTCAACCGACTCGCGACCTCCCGATTGCGACTTGCATGTTCCTCCTCCTCCCCCTCCACCTCCTCCTCCTCCTCCTCCTCCTCCTCCTCCTCCTCCTCCTCCTCCTCCCCCTGCGGGGGGCTTCTGATCCTCGACGCGACCCCTGCCAACTCCCTGCTCCAAAGCCGGCCCCCAGGGAAGGGGGTCGAGGGGTCGATGGGGGCCCGCGCACCGAGCAGACGAGTCGCCGCGCCCCCGCCGTATGGGCCCGGGGCCCTCGGGCGCCCCCCATTGTCAAATGCAATGGTCGCCTGGCCCGCCGCCAGCATGCGCGGGCTATTGGGCGGTGGCCCAGGGTAGCCCTCGGCAGTGGCATCTGCCCAGGCTCCGCGAGGCGCCCGAGCGCTTCCGCCGCGGCAGCAGCATGAGCCGCATTGTCCAATGGTCCGGCCCCCCGCGCCCGGCGCAGGAGGGCGCGCCGATGGGGGCGCGTCAAGCTCCGGAGGGTCTGTTCCCCTGGAGCTGCGCTCCGTCGACGCCGTCGGCGGCCTCGCGGACGGCCAGATCAGTTGCGACCGATGCGCCAGGCGCGCCGCTGTTCTCCTGGGGCCGCCGGGATCGCCGCGGCGAGGATGGGGCTGCATCCCAGTCGGCGGCTGGCCGGTCGCGACGGGGCGCGCCCCGGGCGCGCATGGCGCCGCGGGGGCCCCCGAGCGGCTGCGCTCGCAGTCTTGGGCACCGCGAAGGCTCGCGAGGCGGCCGCGGGCGTTTCCCATTGGGGCCTTTATATTTTAAGGCGCTTCGTACACCAGGGATTTCTTGCTCAACGCCTGGGCGCCGTTCCACAACCAGCGGTTAGCGGGGCAATCGGGCGTCTCCCCGCTGGCGGTCGCGCCCCTCGAGGCGGCGGGCGTCCTTCTCAGGGCTGGTGGTCGCCAGTCGCCAGCGAACCACCATTCCATGGCCGCGTCGCTCAGGGTCGTCCTTGGGGCGGGTTCCTTGATCGGGCAGCGCGCCGCGCCGCCCGCCCCACCGCTCGGGGCGCGGGCCCGGCGAAGCAGGCAGCAGAGCTTGACGCCCCTGGCTTGCCGCAGCCGTCGCCGTCGCTGCCCTGGCCCCCGGAGGTGAGCGGCGGCGCCGCGGGTCTCGCGGCGGCTCTCCTCGGGGGCGTCGTGCCGCGCGCGAGGGGCGTGGAGCCCGCCCTGGCAAAGAGATCTGCCAATCGTTTGGCCACGGGGCCCAGTCGGCATCGCGGGGCCGACGGCGCAGGGCGGGCAGGGAAGCGGCGGGGGCGCCCGTGCAAAGCGGGCGGTGGTCCGCATCCTTGCCCGCGTCACATATTGCTGCCGCGTCTTGAGATCTCGAACATCTGCGGGTGGCTTTTTTGGGCAGCTCCCTCCTGGCCACCCATTCCCCCCGACGTCATCCGGAGACGTTGTCGCGAAGGGTGCCGCGGCAAGTTCGATCAAGGAGGTGGCCTCGAACTTCGGCCCCCCGCTGTTCGACGACATCAGCAGGCCCCGGCTCGGAGGCCACGCGCTCCGAGTTGCAGGCGCTCGGTGGTTGGCCTTTCTCGGGTTGCCGTCGGCGTCGGTCTAACTGCTGGCGCGCTGCGAGACCGAGACTGTCCGGCGCTATATTTCTGGCGCCTGTCCGTCGCTTATCGGCGGGCTTCGCGGCTACAGCTGGAGACGCGCACCTGCGGGGGGCCGCGTCGAAGCCCGAGGAGTAGCTGAAGGCGTTGAAGTCGAAGGTCCAGGGCCTCAGCGACCAGATGCGACCAGCTCCTGGAGGAGCTGCTGAAGCTCCGCACGAAGGCCCAGGAAG